TGGTGCCTTCACCGGTTCCTCCACAACAACGCAGTTTTCTACCTTACGCACCCCCACAGGCGCCACCACCTTCATCTGAGGAGCCAGACTTTCTATCCGCCTGCCGCTTGTGGGGTCCAGAACCACTCAAACCTGCAGAGGATACTGATAAGGTCCGTGCAGCTCGGCCTGGACGCCGTGATCCCGGTGAAACCAAACCGCACATCAAGCGACCGATGAACGCATTTATGGTTTGGGCTAAAGACGAACGGCGCAAGATTCTTAAAGCCTGCCCGGATATGCATAATTCTAACATATCCAAGATACTAGGTGCCCGTTGGAAGGCAATGAGTAATGCAGACAAGCAGCCGTACTATGAAGAACAATCTCGATTATCTAAACTGCACATGGAACAGCATCCAGATTATCGATACCGACCGCGACCGAAGAGAACTTGCATAGTTGATGGCAAAAAAATGCGCATTTCTGAATACAAAACCTTGATGAGAACCCGACGCCAAGAGATGCGGCAGTTGTGGTGTCGTGAAGGAGACGCGGGTTCATTCTTGCCTGATCTGGCGTCGCCCGGTCCTTCTGCGGCTTCGCCATCGCCTGCCGCTGGCGGATATTACTATCCTCCAGACAGCTTGTCTCCTGCAGGATTTTCACCTGATGGGCTAGCATACGAACCGCGCGAGGATGATTGACCGTCATACGTATAGACTTTGTGCCAACATCGTGATCCAAATCTTGTAAAATAACTGACTGCAGAGAGATGCAGGCGCTCCATCAGTGTTAATGATAAGATCGTAGGTATCTAGGGTATGAATAATTAGAATACTATAACTACTACTATATACGTGGGTACTATGCAACAACATCGATAAAAAAAGAATAGTGCAATTTAGAATCTTATGTTTTATTATTGTCGTTATGCTAATGCCAGTACTTTTATTATATTATATCCGATATGCGGTTTAAGCAAATAATTATTTATTTATATTGATAACCAGAGCTCTATACATACATATATAGATATATGTCAAATGAATGTTAGTGTAACCGTTATATGCGTTATGATTATGAAATGCGTAAATGTATCAAATGAAAAATATATATCAAGTTTGTACTTAAAATTGATATAGAAGTCTTAAAATATGATTTATTTAGGATTGATTATAACTCATAGATATGCTAGTTTACTTGTGTAAAAATAATCGCATATAAATATATTGCGACTGTATAAATGACGACTATATTGTAATCAAATATGTTCTTAATTGTGATACCGAAATAATTCCATCATGTAAAATGTATTGAAAAATTTAATCGGCCATCGCATTTCGAAATAGTTTGCAAGCTCACTTTAGGTGAGCGAGATATGGAATATATTTAATTTAAATTAATTTTAAACTGATATACTGAAGTCATGTAGCGAAAATGATATTTAAAAAGTATTGTCAAATTGTATATCAGGCGTTTTATGTGCCAAAAAGAAAATAATACAAACTTATAATATGTAAACATGCAGTTTGTTTCATTTATTTCTTTCTATTTAGGAATATGTACTGTCAAATAATTAAATAAAATCTGGTACAAAATGTTAATGTAATCGAATATACATGTCTATAGATAGAAACCAATTTATAAAATGTTCGATCGAAAAATAGTATTTAGACCTTCAAAACATTTCTGATACATTCTCGTGAACAAAATCTTAATGAAATCGAATATACATGTATAGATAGAAACCAATTTATAGAATGTTAGATTGAAAGATAGTATTTGGACTTTCAAAACTTTTCTGATACATTCTCACAATACAAAATGTTAATGAAATCGAATATACTTCTTCATCTATAGACAGAAACCAATTTATAGAATGTTAGATCGAAAGATAGTATTCGGACTTTCAAAACTTTTCTGATACATTCTAGTAATACAAAATGTTCATGAAAATCCAATGTACATGTCTATAGATAGAAACCAATTTATAGAATTTTAAATCGAAAGATAGTATTTGGACTTAAAACACTTTTCTGATACATTCTTGTAAACAAAATCTTAATGAAATCGAATATACTTATCTATAGATAGAAACCAATAAATAAAATGTTAGATAAAAAAAATAGTATTTAGACTTTTAAAACATTTCTGATACATTCTCGTAAACAAAATGTTATTGAAATCGAATATACTTCTCTATACATAGAAACCAATTTATGGAATGTTAGAACAAAAAATAGTATTTAGACTTTGAAAGCTTTTCTGATACATTCTCGTAAACTACATTTTATTTATATGATTTATTTTAAAATCAGCTTTATCTATTTGATTCAGATTTTTAAGAAACAAAAGTGCTATTTACTAATGATTTTAACTACATACATAAACTATATAAACCATATAAGCGATTAATTTCTGAATAGTAATTACACATAATTGTACCATCAAATACTACAATATCATAGTTCAATTAAATTTATATTTTATTATACCAATTACAGTTATATAATTGAATTGAGAAAACAAGTACTAGACATAAAATTATAAGCGTAAACAAAAACACTAGGTGCATTGAAATATATTTATAATTTGAATCGAATCGAAACATTTCTTCTTGTTTACCATTATAAATTTAAAATTACAAATATTATATTTATATATATATGTATGTATATATATATATATATATATATATATATTTACAAAGGTAAACAAATATAAAAGAAAAAATATCAAATGCATTATAATAAATAGGTATGCTTTGAATCGAATAGCTTGAACTTTTGAAATGAAACATAGTACATTATATACATGCATTATATATATATATAAATATATATATATATATATTTATAATTATAAAATTATAATGATAAACAAGAAGAAAAACAAGAAGAAAAGAAAAAATAATAAGTGCATAAAAATAAAGGTATGTTTTGAATCGAATGTCTTACATTTTTAAAAAGATACATTATACATTATATATATGCATATATATATATATATATATATATATATATATATATATATTATAAAAATATATTGACATACAAAAACCAGACGAAAAGAAAAATTAAGTGTTAAAATATAGGTATGGTTTGAATCGAACGTCCTGATCTTTTCAAATGGTATAATGTACATTATATATATATATATATATATATATATATATATATATATATATTAATTGTTTAATATGAACAAAACAGCACTCAGATTTTTTCAACACAACTTTATTTTATGATTACAGACGTTTCGAGACCATGGTGTGTCTCATCTTCAGTGTAATTTCAAAAACAGTTACTTATATACTACACATTCTTTAATAATTTATTTAAATTTCATTTAATTTTTGATATACAAAAAACACCAACTATTCCTTGCAATGCTTGACACAGTACTAAAGAAACATATAACACTTACAGAAATATTCTAAACAAATTTGAAGTACTTATCTAGATGGAGACAGAGAGGGTATCATTATAATGTAAACAAAAGGAGTGCTATCGCATACAAAAATCGATAAAAATGAAAAAACAAATTAATTTATTGAAAAGAATAAGATAAATGAAAAAATTTATAAATTATTAATGATGTTTATATAAGTGTCATGTAAAATATTTGTGTCGGTTCTTAGATTTATGCTATTGTTAGTCCGAACTATTAACATTGATTCTGCCATGCTCCGTTTAAATAAGTCTTTCTCATGGAATAAAAGATAAGTACTTCAAATTTGTTTAGAATATTTCTGTAAGTGTTATATGTTTCTTTAGTACTGTGTCAAGCATTGCAAGGAATAGTTGGTGTTTTTTGTATATCAAAAATTAAATGAAATTTAAATAAATTATTAAAGAATGTGTAGTATATAAGTAACTGTTTTTGAAATTACACTGAAGATGAGACACACCATGGTCTCGAAACGTCTGTAATCATAAAATAAAGTTGTGTTAAACAAATCTGAGTGCTGTTTTGTTCATATTAAACAATTAATATTCGATCCACTCATATCATAAAATTCTATATATATATATATATATATATATATATATATATATATATATATATATATATATATATATATATATATAAATGTTAAATATGAACAATACAACACTCATATTTCTAACACACACTTTATTTGGTAATTACAGCTGTAATTACCATAAGACGTTTTGAGACCATGGTATGCTTCATCTTCAGTATAATTTTAAAATAGTTACTTATATACTACACATTTTTCAATATTTTATTTAAATTACATTTAATTTTTGAAAATACGAAAAACACCAACTCGCTTACAGAGCTTGACACAGTACTAAAACATGTGAATAGATACAGAAATATTTAAAACAAATCTTAAGTATCGAGATGAAGAGACAGATGGGATATATATATATATATATATATATATATATATATATATATATATATATATATTAGATGGTAAAGTTTTGGACTTGTAAATATTTTGTAGAGCTTCGAACAAGAATCCAAAAAGTAATAAAAAACAAAAAAGTTTTTTAAAAAAACATTTCTTTATTTATCATATATATATATATATATATATATATATATATATATATATATATATATATATGTACCATTTGAAAAAATCAAGACAATTGATTAAAACCATATTTATATTTTAACTCACTTAATTTTTATTTAATTTTAGAGATATATGAGTAAGTTTCTAAAGAACTATTATATATATATATATATATATATATATATATATATATAATAAGTTAAACGAATACAAAAATAAAATAAAAATAAAATATTAAGTGCATTACAATAAAAGTATATTTTGAATAGAATGTCTTAAACATTTGAAATGATACAAGGTAGAGTATATATATAACACTCATACATAATAATTTTCAATATGAAAATATTCATATTCATATTCAAATAGCTTCATATTCAAATATTTACTTTGAATACGCCTTCTGATGGTACGCCTGTTGCTAGGTACTCGTGACAGTTTGGTGTTGCCCGATTACATGAATCATCTTTTATCTATGACTTGAATTGTCATTTTGGGCCGTACCATATTTACCTACGTCAACGACTCGGCAGCCGTCAATAGCGAAGTGTTTGATCGGGTTTAATGGCATATTAGTTTTAAAAAACAATATATCAAAATGGTAAAGATATTTATTATACGTCGTCGTTACATTATTGGGGTTGTAAACATTTTTTTCCATAATTTTAGATGCAATTCATGCTACTATTCAGTCGCCAAGGTAAATTAAGACTTCAAAAATGGTACGTAGCATACACAGACAAATTAAAGAAAAAAATTACTAGGGAATTAATTACTACCATATTAGCAAGGAAACCTAAAATGTGTTCATTTTTAGAATGGAAGGATGTTAAAGTTGTATATAAAAGGTGAGATATTTATTTTCTTGTGACACATGTGTACAATGTGGCAGTTTTTCAATTAATCTGTGTTTGTAGGTATGCAAGTTTATATTTTTGTTGTGCAATTGAACAGAATGATAATGAACTATTAACACTCGAGATAATACACAGATATGTAGAACTATTAGACAAATATTTTGGCAGCGTAAGTATCTTTAATTATTATAGATTTGAGTATACTTAACTACACTTTCTGGTGCACTATACTTACCTTTTTATGGCATTTTTTAACAATTTGTTTTGTATATACATACCTTACTCATTGTATCATAAATGCTTATTTATGATGCTTTTGTTCATGTATAATGGTATGCCTATTTAACATTGGCTGTTATGACTTCATTACTATATTTTAAATACATTATCTTTAACAATTGCCATTTTTGTGCAATATCATTTTTAATAAAATAATACTATTAGAATGTTAAATTGCAAAAATAAATAATTTTCATTTATTTATAAAATTATTCATTAACTACCTGTGCTAGCCAATCTGACAGATACAGGTTCAAACATTTAGCTTGCCGAGCTATGATTTGATGTTATAAAGACTCCCTGTCCCTAATAGCTTCTTTTATTTAATAAAATATTACTATTTGAATGTTAAATAATGTTACATTGAAAAATATAATTAATCTTCATTTATTTATAAAATTGTTCATAACTACCTGTGCCTAGCCAATCCGACAGGGCCAATCAGTTAGCGTGCCGAGCTATGATTTGATGTTATAAAGACTCCTTGTCCTTAGTAGCTTCTTTTATTTTACTATTAACTACTATTCACATGCCCACATCAGTTTGTCTGTGAGCTTTGCATACCTTGACAGGTGGAGATATACTGAACTTATTTCCTAGAGATATACTGAACCAAATGTCTGTGGTTTAAACATGCATAATATTTATGCACTCTTTATTAAAATATTCAAACAGGTTCTGTCAATTTTCTATATGTAATCTAATAAATATAGATTGTGCTTTAAATATATTGTGGGCAAATATGTATATCTATATTCTGTTATACTACTATATTAATATATTCTACTATATCTGTTATATTACTACAATAATTACCTAATCTACATTAATTAATCTCTATTTTTTTCTTATTTATTCATAGAACTCCTATTCAGCATTATAGAAACATTAATAAAATATTTGTTTATAAAATATTTTTAAGCAAATACATAGTTAAAATAAGATTCTGTCCTGAACTTGTAAATACAGTTACTGAGCCCGTGAGACTGAGGGTTAAAACGATAATGGGTTCATTTAACTGTAATGGTTGAAACGAATTTAGATTCCAGATTTCTTTACAATTATTACAGATTATTTAATACTAATTTTTAATAAATTTGACAAATTTAATGAATACATTGATCCTTCTTTACTAATGCTTAACATAACAAAAAAATTTGCTCATTTTGATTGCATTACAATTAGCAATGATTTGTTTTTTGTGTAATTTATTTTTGAAGATTACTAATCACTTATGTATTTTATAGGTTTGTGAATTAGATATAATTTTCAATTTTGAAAAAGCCTATTTCATATTGGATGAACTTCTTGTTGGTGGTGAACTTCAAGAAACTTCTAAAAAAAATGTTTTAAAAGCGATAGCAGCTCAAGATCTCTTGCAGGAGGTTAGTACAGTAGATGATAGTAATGATTTATAAATATCTTAGAACTTTATTGTTAGTTTTATGTTTATTATTGTTCCTGTATGTGTATGTCAAACGTTATCTCTAGTAGAAAATTGATTTGTAGATTATTGAAGTAATTTCTATTTAATTAATAATTTAAACAAATTAGTATTATATACTTGAGGCATAATGATAAATATGCAATGAGGATCTTATAAGCAATATTGAAAGAAACATTTTATTGTTATCTTTGAATGTTGAATGAACTCAATAACTTATTTATTTATAATGACATGCCATGTACTTCAAATTGAAGTTTTGGATATGTGTTGTTTTATGGATTATTATTTAATAATTCAATAAACTTGAACTTGAATAATTTTAAAATATGTGAAGATAAACATTTTTTATAAAATTTTACAATTTATTTCTAATACCAGTTTAACAATTTAGTTCGATGCTTCTTGATACAAATAATACACGTGAGATCCTTTTTGCTTTGTACTTTTATGCTATTCTGATTAATTTGAAGAAAAAAATTATAGTATACTTGAACTATATAACTATACTTTGTAATGCCATACAATTCAATGACTATATTATATATGTTGCCTGTTTTCAAATCAATGCATTTTGATTGTTTTCCTAGTTTGAAGTGTGATGAGCTGTATGTTGCATCCGTTATTGTCCACACGGTTCTATTGAACCGTCTTGTGTCGGTATGTGCTTGAATGTATTCATGCTATTGCATGATTTATTCTGTTTGGATGTGTTAGTGAATTTACTTGAAAGACAAGTATTTGCAAGTGCTAATTAACTTTAACGCATATTCGCTGTTATTTAATTTTAGTAAGTGATCTGCTGATGCTAAATTTGATGATGCCACTATTAAGCAAATACTAACATTTAGTCTGTTCCGTTGCTTTACGAATGTGATGAGTATTCTCAAATATTTTTCCTAATTTATTTTATGCTAATAATTTCATTCTTTGTCCTTCCAGTAATATCATTAAGCATGGTTTTATTATACAGATTTGAAACTGATGCACTGAATATATAGATTGGTTACAATTGGGTTTCTTACAGTTTGCTGGAAATATAGGTTTGATCTTTTATGTCATTTTGAATCACACTTTTATGACAGGCTAATAAATATAGGTTTTAAATTGCACACATGAATGCATGTAAATCATCCATTTTGTTTTACAAACATTTGTGTTTTGACACACGGGTGTTGTGTTGTAAGTCTGTATGAAAATGACTTTAACTCTATTCATTGCGTAAGTTAGGGCCATTTGATGATTTTTCTTTATTTTAATGATTTTAAAAATGAGGTTTTCAAGTCATTGTTCCATTCATAATAAAATGGACCTAGAATTAAAGTATATATTGCTAACTCAAGCCAATTAAGGGATATATTATTTTACAATCTGGTTCTCTTTATATACTAAATGGACATTGATTTGTGTAATTTGTCACTAAATATTTTATATTCTTACCTTGATAATTCGATCATAATGTTGAATACTCACGTTATTTGTTTTATTTTTAAATATTTTAAATAAATTTTATGTTTAAATAACCATTATTTAACCAACCTAAAACATTATTTTTCAAAATAGGTTTTGAAGATTTAATTATTGATATCTTATTTTTTTGTACATGAAGTTTTTTTTACTTGCACAAAAATGTGCATAACTGATGGTACAGTTGTGCGGGATTCAAAATTCTTCTGGAAACTAATTTAACTATTGTTTTAGAAATCAATTTATTCTTGTTGGTTAATATACTTAAAATAATAATTGAGAAATGGTTGATTACATTGGTAAAACAAACATGCAAATTCTGAATAATCTATAAAGAACAGGCTTAACACGTTTTTGCCAAATAATTTATTTTATGTAATGTTTACAAATTACATAAAAAATATCTTAGGGAACTTACTCAATAATTTTAGGAAAACGTCTAATAGTTATTACTATTAAGAAGCTAAGTTTAATATAAATACAATGTTATTAAATAGTAATAATAGTTTTGATGTTATAAATATTACTTCCAGCATCATCTCAATTTGCCCACATTCATTTTCTAGATATTTTTTATTTCAAGTAATAGAACCTAATTGCATAATTTTCAAATTAGCATTGCGAATATGGTAAGTAAATATATTTTCAATCGATTTATTTCACTTCTTTGCTGATTGCACAATGTAAAACTAACTTTTACAAATGCTCACTAGCTTAGTAACTTACAAACATACTTACCTCTTTTAAATCCATTGCTTAACAAAATTCTAAAATTTTTGCGTGGTATACTTTCTGTAATAAGTAGTGGAGTAATTATAATTAATATGCACATTGATTGATACAAACCTCTTCATTTGCTAAATTATGCTTTACTTTTATTAATGCTGTAATTTAAATTAAATATTTCATAAGTCTAAAAAGATTTATGCTCATACTTTTAGAATTAGCTTTTCTAAGTATTTATGTAATTTGTAGACTTGCTCATAAATTTTGTGTATTAGGCAGGTGACTGTGACAAGTTCATATTTGATACTTCAAGCTTTTCATTAAACTAACATTGTGTACTTCTTAGAAAACTTTTTGCGTTTGTTCACCATATTCTTCGTTTTCAGCTGAACCAACTTGAATGCTTTTTTTTATTCGAGTTTTTTTCTTAAAAAAAATTGTTGGCTTTGTTAACATTTTACATGTATATATAAATTTATATATATATATATATATATATATATATCATTATACATATTTTTTTAAGACTTCTTGAAAACTACCAAGACTAGATGTTTTCAAGGTCTGCATTACATCATGGGTGGGTTGAATTTGCTACCAATTTTCTATGAGTTTACTGGCACATGTCAGCACTTACTATGATTAAACACATAAAATAGTGTGCAATTCTCAATGTTTCCAGATAGGATGTTGAAACGTTCGGTATAAATAACATTCTCAAATAATCTTCCAAGTTTTATATCATGTATGGCTTAAAGATATTATACATTGTTAATATTAATATATATATATTATGTGTATTTATGTGCAAGTCCATATCTATAATGTGTATATATGTACGAGGGAGGGGTCAAAAGTTGCTGGGCTGCCTAGGAATAATGATGTTCAGGGGCTTTATTTCTTTCATCATAATCTTCTCTGATACTTATACATTTTTTCTAACGGTGTTTATGAATAAAAACGGTTTTGAACATAGATTCGTCAATTTCTTCAAAACGCTGATTTATGGCTTCCATCATTTCCTAATTACTAACAAGATATTGGCCACACTATTTTTTCTGATTAGAAAACAGATATTAGTTGCAGAGAGTTAAATTTGGAGATTTGGGATGATGCGCCATCGAACTACAATATGCAAATTTTAGCTATGGAAATACTCAGCAAATACGCTGGCGCGTAATCATTATGAAACAAATAATTTCCTCACTAAATGAAATTTAATTTGAATCTCCTGCTTCGAACGTTGCGATATTTCGGTTATTGACCTACGAAAGTTTTACCCTGCTCAATGTAATTAATGTATATAAATTCTCTTGCATCTCGAGAAAAGTAGCCAAAACCTAGTTGTCATTATTTACTATTTTTTAATTTGGTTCTTTTTGACCAACCAGGTGTTTAGAAGGTTGTTTATTTTTCAGAAGTATAGTGGTGCCTCCAAACTTCATTAACAAATGATTTGACGCCAAAAATCTACAAAATATTGGCTGTTAGCATACGTGGCACCGATCTCGCACACTGCTTCTCCATTCTCAAATGATCGTGTAAAATAATTAGCATACATTCTTATAACGTCCTAGAAGCCTGCTATACCGTCTACTTCCAAATTATGGTGTTTTTCAAAACTTATGGGTTTTTTTTCGATCATTTTCAAGTTATGACTTAAACGGGCCGTCCTGGTAATAGTTCGTTATAGGTGTTCACACAATCTATTTTTATGTTCCACTGCTTAATATTGATTATCATCTGGAGCCTTAAGTGTTGAATCCGTGTCTTCTTTTAATTTTTTCTTTATGTTAAACCCTTAAAATAGAAGTATGTGATAACTGCATGATTTTCTATTTTTTTCCATTTTAACAAAGGAATGCGATCGAGCTGAAAGTATAAATATAAATTAGTTAGGGAGAGAGCTATATGATGACAATCCAGAAGTAGACCCATTGCCTTCTGGTAGGGCCAGCATCTTTTCACTCCAACCTGGTATATGTATTTTGTTTTTATGTATATATAGAAAAAAATCATTTACGTTTGTCGAGCTTATTTTGTTTTGCCTGGGTACGTCGGACTTAAGGTGTTAATACTGACAAAAAACTCCGGTTTCACCTATATCACTGTTAGATATTATTTTTATCATACACATACATATGTATGTGTATAATATAAATAAAAGGGTGCGTCGATTGTACATGATACATATGTACGTTTATAACAAAATAAAGGGTTAGGTCGATTTAAAAATCGCTTAGACACATATGATTCTCAGATTATATGGATCAAAATACGAAACTTTGCTGAAGAAACCATATCTTTAAAATTAATTCTGATGTCCCGTGGATTGATCCAAAGGTTTAAATTATTAGAGTACCGTAGACTATATATCATATATTTATGTATTATGTATCATTAGTATCATATATTTATATATCAAATTACTAATTATTGTTGTTTATTATAATATTAAGCAGGTTGATGTAAAAATAAAATTAAAAAAAAATTCTGCCGGGGATCGAACTTGCGAATATCATATGTGTCTTCAAGCCAAACAAAATGTTCACAATCAGCATCGACACATATACGCGAGTTCGAATATTGACAGAGTTATTTTTTTTTAATTTTCACATCAATCTGGTTAAATATTATATTAAATTATAATTATTATTAATTTGTTACATATACTACATAAATATATGATATATGATCTACGGCACTCTAAATGGCTACTCAAAACGGAATATTTCAAAATGTATACCTTTGGATTAACCCACGCGATATCAGAATCCATTTTAGAGGTTTGGTTTCTTAAGCAAAGCTTTCCATTTTAATCTGAATAAAGAATAATATTAGTCGAAGTTCAAGCGCTTCATTAAATTTACATTAATGTATAGATTTTAGAAAACTGGTTGCATTTTTTACCTATTTTTGATATTCAGCTGAATCATCTTGAAATTTCTGTTTGAGCTTCTTTAGGAGATGGTGTTTTATTAACATTCTACATGTATTTATACGTATATATGTATATGCATCATATAGAGTAATTAATTTCCATAATGAGATATATGAAGAAGATCTTTTGGGGCGATATGTAAAAAAAACACAGATTTTTAAATTAATCATTTATTCCCAAAAGTTTCGACATACAGTTTAATGTCATCAGTGGATATTGAACTAGCACTAACATTAATACACTTACTTGTCAATAATCATGATTTTTTTTTCTTTTTATTAGATAGGTAAAATAATGAGAATTGAATAGTGTGTAATCGGTTTCGGACACTGTAGCTATTACAAGTTCGTTTGAAAAATATTTGAATTTCATATAGATTTTCGTTAAACAATTATTATTATTTTACCTATCCACATAAAAGAAACAAATCATAATTGTTGACAAGTTAGTGTCTTAATGTTAGAGCTGATTTTTGTGCTGTATATGGTACACATCTTTTGATGTAAGATACCAATATCAATATCCACTGATGATGACATTAAATTGTATGTCAAAACGTTTGGGAATTAAAGATTAATTTATATAAATCTTTGTTTTTTTATGTAACATCGTAAAAGAACTTACTCATTTATAATATATGTATATATATATATGTGTATATATATATATATATATATATATATATATATTTCAAAGTAACTAGCAGCCCATTCGTTGAAATAAAAATGTAATAAAGTTTTTAAGAACTTTTATTTATAACTTTAATTAATTAACTTTAATTTAGAACTTTAATAAATAAAAGTTCTTAAATACTTTGTTACATTTTTATTTCGACGAATGGGCTGCTAGTTACTTTGAAATATGTTACAACGTCGAAAAAACTATCAAGATGAATAAATAAATATATATATATATATATATATATATATATGTGTGTGTGTGTGTGTATTAGGGTGGTCCTTAATATGAACATTTTCTAATTTCCTTGCTCCCAAGGGCTCAAATGGTTCCAAATTGATAAACAATTCTCAGAAAGTTTTAGCTCTTAATATTGTCTTTTAGATAGAGCGCAATTCAATCAAAGATTTGTATGGAAATAGCACGAAAAAAATTTCAAAAATTTTGCAGAGCGTCGAAATTTCAATAAAAAATGACATGAATTTTCACTTTTAATTCCTTTGTCGCTGTTATACCTAAAAACAATTTTTTTTAATTTTCAAAATTTTTTCCATGCTATTTCCATACGAAGTTTGATTGAATTGCGCACTATCTAAAAGTTAATATTAAGAGCTAAAACTTTCAGAGAATTATTTTTTATCAACTTGGAACCATTTGAGCCTTTGGGAGGAAAGAAATTCGAAAATGTCCATGCTAAGGGCCACCCTAATATATATATATATATATATATATATATATATATATATATATAATACTAAATACTAATAATACTTAATGCTTATTATTATATATTAGTATTATGATTTAATTTTACTGCAATCATACCTTTTACCTGTAATATTCCTGACATCTAGGAGTAGAGCATATATTTATTGTTTTTGTAATGAAACCTCTGCTAAGTTTGTTAAAATTTGTAGTGCATGGATACAGTCGTAGTGCTCGAGTTGTGATTTATTATTCGTAATTATCTTGAGACAGAGCTATTGCCTGTATATTTAGCGTGTGATAATCATCTTCATTATAATTCTTAGCAATTATTTGCTCATCCCATCCATTTCTCTGCATCACTTACCATACTTCATTATTTCACTTGATTTATGCGATTAGTACTGTTTTAGCACAGTTCAGTTGCTAAATGAAATAAAACATTGTTATTTTTTACACGCTTATTGTGGTGGTTGTTTTTAATGTTATAATAAGGAATGGTTTTAACTTATTTTAAGCATGATGAAAAATTGCATCGAAAATTAATTTTCAATAGTTATGTTGCGAGGTCGATTATCAGTGTATGGAATACGTCATTGTTAGTAAATATTTGCTATGTCAAAATGTTATCAGAACGAGCTGTGATAAAAATTGTAATGTGTGCCTTTGATTAAAATAACGGTTTTATGAGCATTATTGATATTACATATAGATATCACTTAGCACTTATGCAATCGATCAATTTTAGGCGCGGATTAAGATTATCTACACATGACAGTTTTTTGCTTGATTTTATTCACACTATCTTTGTGACTGATGAAATAAATTTAACTTTTTTATCAGATTGTATAAATTTGTCTACGTTTTTTGTCTAGTAAACTTGTTTTACCGAATTATTATTGATTAACATATTTTAGCTATTTAGTTTTTTTTTATTGTATAAACTGGAATTTTGAAATTGATTTAGGCTGAGATCATATGTCGCGTATTTTCTGCATCTCGAATATGCATTTAAATCAAAATTCTAAATAAATTAGCATGCTTATTATTTGATAAATTATAAATTACGTTCAATGCAATTTTAATAAGTTGTTAATTGCATATGCAAATTTTACTCAGCTTGATACGGAAAACAAATTTATTTATTTAAAGAAATACTAACTTTATTATTTTATTTATATTAGCAAAATAAAATACTTTCTATGCGATCTCAGCATTAGTTTAGTAGCCGTAGATCTAATATTATGATTTGGTACAGACAGATACATAAGGCATTCATTATGTTTTTACAATCGTTTAGTTTCGCTGTATAAGCATTTGTTAAATTGATAAAATTGGTTTGTAATTTAGATATATGACCGGTTTTGGGATAATAGATTTCTTTTGACGTAGGCCGATTTAAAATTAATTGCAATAAGGTATAACTGGTACATAGTGTTAAAATGATCTTCTCGTTGGCGTCGCACATTACTTATCCCGAGTAAGGATTTATGGAACTTGTTGAAAATTTTTCTTTGACGTTGTTCTTTCGCAGGAGGAGACGCCGCAGGGATTCTTCGACGATCACGGCTTGGGCTAGTAACAAAATACCACCACAATCTTCGATAAACAACAAAATTTAATTTAGTTATGGACTTCTTCATACCCTTAGATTATTTGTCGATTTCTGTTTTAATCCCCCTGTCATGTCGCTTGTGGAAATATTTAACATCTTAGTTGATAGAGTATAATAACTATATTGAATTAATATTGTGATGTACAATTGCACTGCAAATTCCATGTATTAACTGTAACAGTATTCACAATTTTAATTTATCATAAGTGAATTTTTAGATAAACATTTGATAACTATGTATATTTTTGGTATAAAAATAATTATAATAAAGTTTATTGGTTATAATATAATGTGATTTGCGATACATAATAAATCCCGCCCTTCCTTCAATTCAATTTTAACAATCTTGTAAACTAACTTTGTGTCAGATATAAACATGTCGTTTACTGACAACAGAAATTGAAATTCGTGAATATATAATTCCAAATTGATGTTGACAGAGTCTAAAAATAATATCAATAAAAAACATAAATTTACTTAACTTATTCTAAATTCCATACGTTTTGGCTATAGTTCTACTCTTTATTCAGTAGAAAATTTGCTGATTCTAATATTAAAAACAGAAAAAACAATCCGTGGTATGAGGATATAGTAATGTTCTACATGATGTAATATAAATTTCAAAACTGTTGTATTCATAACAATTTTTTACAATTTTACTAACATAACAATTTACAAAGTTACAAGAGATTAAGTGTGCGACCTGTTAAGGAGATATGTTCGTATTCCACCGAATAAAGGTTATGACTATTGTAACCTAATGCATGAATTTAAAATAAATTTTGAGAGAAAATGTTTTTTGTTGATATTATGCCGGATTTTTAGACGCTGTCATATATATATATATATATATATATATATATATATATATATATATATGAGTTTGGTAATCACTTGCAATAAATCCTTCATGAGATAATAGAAGTAGAAACTAAAACTTCAATTTTGTAAAATATTACAAAATGCTTTTCTCGTTTAATTTGATTTTGAAGTTATACTATTCTGTTACATTTTTTTCTTTTCATAATTTTTCGTTGTTGTTGAAACATTTGTTTTTTCTATTTCAAATAGATGTTTCTATTAATTCTTGATATCATAATTAGCAAGGACAATCAAACACCTGTACTATATTCTAGATTACTTTAGTTTATGTGTACTAAATATACTAACCCTGTTATTAGTCCGGTTGGGTGTAGAAATGTAAAACACAAAAATATTCTTTACGACAGAATAATGAACTAACAACTTTCACACGCGTGGGATTTTTTATCACACTGATATTTTGAAGTCTATTGTTTGGACATTAATGGACGTTAGACCCAAATAGTACATGGTTATATTTGCTGAATTATAGAGCTACTGTAGAGGCACAGAGAGGTGTATTAAACTGTATATGGATTGATATATAATGTACATATGAGGTATAACATTGTATGTATATATTGTTTTATATATGCGCATTTACATATTTAACGATACGTGTCTGTACTAACTGGTAAAGTATATATTATATATACATGTATATATATATATATATATATATATATATATATGTATGTATGTATGTATGTATGTATGTATGTATGTATCTGCTTTGTTTACCTTCTAATCAAGATCATGTTCTTGACAGATGTCCTGAAGATGGAACGTACATAGTTGAGAAAGTCGGCTATAAACAATAATTTTATAATAACTTTTTGGCTTTTTATTACAATATTGGATTCCTTGTTCGAAGCTCAATACAACATACATTTTCAAGACTCACATATATGCGAATTTCACGTATTAATTAAATGTCGTTTAGTATGCCCGTTTATATAAAAACTATAAAATTACTTACAATTATAAGACTCTTCTTTATTGTATCACATCTCGTTATATGGTGACGATTGAGTACATTGTTTCAACTACTAGAAACTACATATGACATTTTAGTTTTCTATATCTACTAAATACAAGTAATATTATTGGTTATCAAATCAAATATCTTTCTAATACTAAAGTTTTCAGTATAATTATAAATTAAATTAAAGGTTGTATATAGAGAGAGTATTGATTTTTTAATTTTTTTTTCTTAACTTAAATGATTCACTTGAAAAGATTCTTTGGTATAATTTTAACTCAAAAACCAAATAACATGCAGTCTAATAATAATTCAATTTATTATTCATCAATTTTACTGTGAAAAGTTGTACTACTCCGTCGACAAATGTATTAATTACCAATCTGTTTGACTATGGAGCATTATACTAATATTTATTTTATAATCACACAATGTATAAAAATGGTCCCTGCAGACATTAAGTCCATTCTTAACTTTATTATTTACAAAATTTGTAGCATGATATTTAAATCTATATTAAATATAATCGCAATATAACGATGAGCATTGGTATAGTACTTCATAATTGAACAAATGTCCAATTTGTGAATGTTATGAGCGATGTGATTTTTGTTTTTCATGAGCAAATGTTAAATTAGAAATATAAGAGCACTTTAGTTTGTACTATGACACCACAGTGTTCATTGGATACATTTGTTCCGCCTGAGGTTCTGGTTCGGGTTCAGTCCTGTTTTTACCGAGGCATGTTGTGAAGCAAGTGTCTCCGACACCGAAGCGTTCTCCATCGTTAAGGGATTGTGGCATTGGTTGCCCTGTCGTTTCTGGTAATATTAAACATAACAATCCAGAAACCAATGAAATGACACCAAATATTACAGCGGGTATGGTCGGATCGAAAGAATCCAATAGTGTGATCAATGGCGTAAGGGCACCAGATAAACGAGCGCACATGGAACCTAAGCCGAGCGCTGAATTTCGTACAACCGTGGGAAAAAGTTCTGCAGAGTAGATGTATATAATTGCAAAGGATCCTGCTATAAACAGTTTTCCAAGCATAACGATAGAGGTCGCGGCCGTTGAGCCTTGTTCAATGTATGCTGCCACTATACAACAGATACCACCAGCTATCATGAATCCACTGATAAGCGAACGTCTTCCTAGACGATCCATGAGAAATACTGTGGCAATATAATTAGGAAATTCAACCAGGCCCATTATGAACAAAATGAGGAAAGGATTGCCATATAATTTACCAGCGCTAAGGGATAATCCGTAATATACTAACGAATTTGCGAACCAGCACAAACATACGTTTAGAGTTTTTTTGCGCAAATTTGGAGTTTTGAATAAGTCACTGACTCCGGCTGATGGTCCATCGTCATGACTTACAACTTTTCCTTTAGAAACATAATAGGAGACGTCAAGTGAAAGGCCGCGTTTATTCATTTCTAATGCTTTTTGTACGATTAACACTGCTTCGCGAGCACGACCCTGCATCCAAAGCCATCGTGGAGATTCGTCCATAAGCCACCAATGAACGATAAGAAGAACTCCATGTAGTCCGTATACAACTTGCAAGATTTGACGGTCATGTATTAAAGCTCCCCAAGCAGCCACCAACATTACTCCGCCAGCGAAAGCAGCTTGAAATGCAATACCACACACTGTACGTTTACTAGCACCGACCAATTCCATGGTCAACACGAATCCGGTGATATAACTTCCAGCAGAACCAAACACACCGTAAAGGAAACGCACTACTAAGAACGATATATATTCGGGCACAAACGCTACACCAACACCTAATACAAGTTGTAGCAATGCAGACCAGCAAAACACAGCTTTGCGTCCAACTCGGTCTGCAAGACCACCCAATGTCACAGCACCAGTAAATACTCCGAACATGTAAGTCATTTGAGCAATAGCACCCATCCATCGCCGTGAACAAACCATGTTCCATTCGATGGCGCGTGAACTTTGGTAGTATGTATTGTCGAAGACGTACTCTGTGCACGCCACGGTCTGGTTATGAGCATCGTACATGTAGCAGGAATCTAATCCGTTTTCCTCAGTGTAAGGTATAGCAGCTCTCACTAAGGATGAATTCCAAGGCGCCGCAGTGCCATTTATATCTACACCTGGGATCATGCATCGGTGCTCTGGTATTGCAGCTACGGTTACTAAAGTCAACATGTGCAAACCAGCAGTCAACCCGGCTAGGATGTGCAATGAAAACTGCGCCATCTGATAACGTCCGAAGTCACCTGCGTATTTAAACGGATGAGATGAAGTAATTCTAATGACATCGTTAATTGATATGTGCGAATAGCTAATTAGCACATCTGCAATAGCTTTGCTTCCAAAGCAATAATTGAGAAATCATTACAAATGAAAATAATCGAAATAATTCTACGTACCTAGCTTCCCCATCATCTCCTCTAAATCATGATCCACATCCATTGTTGCACTTTATTTTGATATATCACTTTTTTTTAAAACTAAGTAGGAGGAACTATTAAATAAATTAGACAAAACTCTGATGAGCCGGGTACTAGGCTAGGCGACTCGGATGCTGACACCGCGACTGTCGCGTTGCGAATGTCCTCTCGCCGGCTGCTGTGCCGCTCGCCACTATACACGCCGTCCACACTAGCCTTGAGTGCGTTAGAACTGGCGGAGCACCACGCGAATATTCAAATTTATCGATACGATTTCACATCTTGGTCGTCACAGAGATAGATTGATTCGCTTGGCGCTTAATAATTCATCAATCATTTAAATCATTTCTAACCATAACAATAATTCGTTGACGCTGTAGCATAAATTGCGGCCATGAATAAATTCTTCGCGCTAATAATATCAAGCGCCTCTACAAATAACGCTCTTGTTTTCAAACATCTTATTTTGGTTGTATAGCACACGTTCATCATCTTCTTTCGAGTTTTCTTATTGTGATTTCCATTATATAAAATAAAATTTGACAATAATATTTAAATTTGTGCGATCGTTCAACTATTCAAAAGAATTCTTTAATACTACTACTAGGATAAGTTTATATCTACTAATAAGATGAATGTTTTTGTAAACATTATTATAATAATTGTAACGTCAGAATTTTCTCTAGTGTACCATTGAGTTTAATCGCAACTATCGCAATATCATAATGCATTGACAATTAAACCTTAATTACTCGAGATTAAATTTATGTTTATCAGCTCTTCACGTAGATAATTATTAGCGTAACAGTACTGCTCTATAAAATTTTCATAACTTATTAGACAATTGTTTTACTTTATTTATTGCATACTTACAGTGTTATTAGAGTAATGATGATTTTTATCCACAACATAAAAAATAACTTCTTTTCACTAAAGAATTATATTTTTAAAAATTCTAGTGTGCACTACATGTTTATATCAATTCTATTAAACTTCAACAACTAATCTCATTATTTCTGTATTTTGGAAGATTGTAATAATTGAATTGATAAATCAGTTTTTTTGATAAGCAATATCACATTGATTGTTCCAGTTACCTTAATACAATATATATATATATATATATATATATATATATATATATACATATATATACACTATTATTCTGAAATTGATGTTGACATTTCTATTAACATTATACTTAAAAAAGATTTGAAATATTGTGTGAATAATACATTTGATCTATCTCCAATTAACCATATGTTAAGGACTAAGGTTCAAGTATAAGTATTTTATTTTTAATTGAAAACGAGATTCTGCTGTTATTACACTAACCATTTGTTCCGAATTTTTAAACTGAAGAGAATTAAAACTATTAGTGGCCAATATGCAGTTTAGAACTACCTAAAAGCATTAATAACTTTATATTGCCTTATATATTTGTTGAAAACAAATATATCACTCAGTGTCATATCTCTATTTACACAGTTTAAATTCGGTGCCATTTGATACTCCAGCATTCGCATCTTGAAATCGATATCATTAATATCATTTAAGACGTTCGCACGTGTTGTCCTGTATATGTAACAATGTGTTCAATAAATTCTTCGATATACTACTAAATTGCGTCATGACAAGTTACTTGTCAATGTCTTATAATTGCTGGCATTCCTTATTAAGACATTTGTGTCACCAGACACAACTTACTTAAATTAAATTATTAAACGCTTGGCTATAAAAAATTGGTCTCAGCAATTTGATATCGTCTTGAACGCTCTCTTGTTCCGGACTCGAGTTTGTCGAAATTATAATTGCATCGTGTGAATAAATGAACTCATATCATCATGGGAATGATAATTGTAGAATGTGACAAAATCATATTCGAAATTTATACATTTATCAACTAACGAGTTAACTGTGGGCACATTTGGTGTCTTTCGATTCGAGGTAAAATTTTGGTCTGAAACAAAATGTCAGTTATTTATTTTATACCGGCTTAGCCTCAAAATATTCAAATATTTTAATTTGGGAATGTGTTTTTTTTTTTAAAAAAATTGCAATTCAAATATACTGTTAACTAAGTAAAACGGTTAAAGATTTATACTCGTGACGAATATATTCGTCAATCGCAGTTAACCAAAATTGGTTAAATGCAATAGCATTTTTTCCAAAACATGTGATATTATTGTATGAATTACTCTATACATTATTATCCCTTTTACCTTTGTAGTTTTAAGTATTTAAAAAATATTAATTATTTGTGATGACTCATGATATTTGTCTAACCTCGTCGAGAAGATAATTCAAAATTCATCAATCAATAATCCGTTGTAAAGATATGAAATTATAATAAGATTCACAGATAACGAACATTTCAGATGAATTTTGCTGTCATATCATTTTTTTATACTCTTAATTAAATCTGATCCACTGAAACATGTGATCATTTAATAAATAATACAATTAATAATTTAAAATATCGTAGGCTGCAAAATAGTGTCAGTGTTTTGGAAAAACAGAAATTTTGAAGATTTTTTATCCAAATTTTGATACGAAAAAAAGTTGTACTGCAATTACAGGGTGATTATTTAGAAAGAGAGTGTTCAACTGCGCCGACACATGATATTTTTTACTTTATTAATTAATTTACACAGTTGGATCGGTGAAAGCCATCAGATATTATATTTCTTACGATCAGTTTCAGATCGACGTCACTGTTCGGTTGTGTAACAGTTTTATTGGGTCAGTAGACAACAGTGTCGTTTTAAACTGATAATGGTTCTTTACGTTTAATGTATATTTTCTGGTTGATATCACGAAATGCATACGGCACAGACATATCGCGCCAAGTGGAAATGTAGACTTGAAATTATAAGTTAAGCGTAACATTTTAAATGTCTTTTATCAACGACGAAACTGATAAATAAGTTCAAATCTCAATTCGCGGGATCATGAGGTCGATGACAAATACGCCGACAATAACCATAGTTGAGTATTCTTTATCCTGGTTGTTAAATAATACACAATTTTTGTAACAAGAATATTTGTATATAATTCTAATCAATTTCATGGTATCGTACTTTCAGGTAAATTGCTGGAAATTCTCTCACCTGAAATGTAAAAAAGCTTTAAATTTTTTTGAAAACTGAAAAAAAATATATATTTTTGAGAATTTTTAATCTTTGAGCGATGCGTAGCTGTTTTAGAGACGAACTATCGAAGCGCGTCAGCGTCGCGTCGCGTCGAAGTTCAACGAATAAACATTTGTACGGAACCTTTAGAAATGTAGACAAAATTTGTACTTATTATTAAACTCACTATAACATATCTGATAATTTGATGTGCATATGTCTAATGATTATTTTTGAGTGTCAAATGGCATTTTTTTACTTTTTTTTAACGGATCCCCGAAACTGCTGGACCTGTCTTTCCAAATATTTAATCAGTTCTTCATTTTATCAATACAAATCAGACGCTCCGTTATTCCAAAAACTGAATTACCATTTTTGATCACGGCTGATTTGTCTCCCTTAGATCGTCGACGAAAATTTGAATCCGCATACACACACACACGTACATAATTTTTTTCTAAGACATGCCAAAATGTTCAGAAACCTTTGAAGGAAAATATATAAAAAAAATATTTTTGATTTTTTTGCGATCACTACAAATAGTTTTATATTATACCATAATTTGCAAAAACGTCGTTTTCTATGAGGGTATAACGAAATATTACAGTTAACATTATTATTATTATTATTTGAATAGTGATCAAATCTTAGCGTCTTATAGGTTGTGATGATTTTGACTTAACTAACTTATACATGTAACCCAAACTGGTTGTTCCAACTCTTTGTAATGAAGTTTATTATTACAATTTCTTTAATATTGATGAAATTTTCTATTGATACAGCAATGCCGGATTTCCTCTTGGAAATATATTGCTATCTATATTACCAAGTGAATATCGATGTATGTATCTGCTGCTTGGCATCAGGCTGCCCTAAGCAGATATCGAACCTGAAACCTCTAATTAAAATCTTATAGCTCTAACCACAAATCTACGGCGAAGCCCCAGTTAACAAATTGAAAATTAGAAATGTAGATTTTTTGGAAACTTTTTCTTTGAATCATTTGAAGATCTTGAAAAAATATTGAAGTTTATAAAATTGACAAAGTTCAGTTGTTTTCCCAGAAATGTGTTAGAATAGTTTGTTTTCTAGGCGTACTCAAGCCTACGTCAACGCGTACATAATTTTTTTTTTTGGTTGTAAGATATGCCAATGTTATCGGTAAGTTCTGAACCGTGAATACATAAAAAAGTTTTTTTTTGATAGATTTGCAATTTCAATAACTTACTACACAGGAAGTTAAGTAAATTGTTATGATTTATCAATGGCAAATATTTTTTTCATTTTACTAATTGGATTTTACACACACACACACACACACACATATATATATATCGTATATATCATTATCATTATTATTTATTTATTTGAACAGCGATTATAACTTCAATCCTATAAACTGTGATAGTCAAAAAAAAGCCTAAAGAAAGCACATAAATAGTTGGCCTATCTCTATTTTATGATTTTTTTTACAATTTTACAAATTTGATTGATTTACTTATTATTTGATTTGATTAATTTGATGCAGCAATATGAGGCTTCACTTGGAAATAGCCAAGTATCTGATTTTCTGTATTCGGGCTTAAATTTAAAACAATTAAATGCATATGATCTATTTAAAAATTGCCAAAATCATTTTGGTATTTAGTTCTCTTGCTTTTGTTTTTTTATAAATAGTTGCTGTGATCTTTGCTTATATTAATCGAAATGTATTCTTGATCAACCAGAACAGTAATAGTCACTATTACTATAATAACTATAAATTATATATTATTAATATGTTTGTTTTTCAATTCAATTTCTTGTAAACATTTTTATCGCCCAAGGTAGCTAATGGTTAGGTATGGTATTTTTTATGGTTTCATATTTAAAAAATTCACTTGAAAAATACAATACAAAAGTTTGTGTAAATTGATTTTTAATTTTAAAACTGAAACGTAATAGTAATTATGAGGTAATCGTTTGCACAATTTATATTCAAAAAAGGGCGTGCATCAAAGGTTACTGAATTCGATATCAGTTCTAGATCTTTTTAATTACTTAATATATATTTCGTTATTGCCCTTGTGCGAAAAGTGCTAATTCATTAATGCCGAAATGATTTATAAACATTTTGTTTGAAATAAGAATTATTTATGCTCATGTTTTCTTTTTCAGTATCATTGTTTAACGACGCGTAACATAATTTTGCATTTCAATACACAGTTTCAACACATTGTGATGAAATAAAGATACCGATCGTATTTTGTCGGATTTTGTTTTAATTGAAAATTGTTTTGTTACATTAGGTGTTATTTATTATAAAATCGAGGCCGTCGTGGTATAATGGGCAAATTAGTCCCGGGTTCGAT